CGGCACCGGAGCAGTGGCTAACGTCCTAACCTACAGGCAGCAGGCAGAGAGACCGGGGCTGGCCTCAGCTTTTGAAACCTCAAAGCTGCTCCCGATTTGATGAAAGGGTTCTACTGTGAGTCATGCCTCCTGGCCTCTCACAGGGGAATTCTAGGCAGGTCCCCTACCTGCTGAGCTACAGCTCAAGCCTAAAGTTGAATTTGAATTAAGGATTTAGGGAAGAAGGATGAGGGGCAGTAGGTGGAAGAGGGGAGCAGACACTAAGTCAAAGAACTGAGAAAGTCATTAAAATGAGTCCTGGGGGCATGGAGAGTTGGCTTGTCCCTGTTCTCGCACAAGGCCCAGGTTCTATTCCCAGCACCTACATGGTGATTCAAAACTATCTGTAATGCCAGTTCTGGGGGAATCTAACGCCCTCTTCTGGCCCCTGGAGGTACTGCATGCATGTACTATACAGACAAACACGCAGGCAAAACACACAAACAATAGAAAATAAATCTTAAAATAAAAGTGAGTGCTAGACTAGACATGCAGCTCAGTGGTGCAGTTCTTGTTTAGCTCCAGGCTCTTGGTTCCATCAGGACCAAAAACCTGAAATGTAAATGCTGTTTGATTTTGCCTTTTGAAACTCCTCCACTATTTCCATCTTGGAAGCTTTGCTTTGCAGCTTTCTCTGAAATGCTCCTCCACTCCACTCATTTCCTCCAAGGCGCTCAGCATGCTCTCCACCTGATGCTGTTCCTTGGCACCTCCATTTTTCCTCTCAGCCCAAGGCCGGAAACACCAAATTATTCCTACTTCAATGTGGAGAGCAATTCACTTTTTGCCCCCAAGGGCATTTTCCTAAACAAAGGGAAACCTAGAGAGAAATTGCAGTTTACCTACAGGACAGAAGTGCTACAGGCAGGCGCTTGCATGCCTAAGGACACATGCTCTCGGATGCAGTTGAGGACTGAGAGAAAACTAGGACCCCTTACCAGAGTGGGGCCCTCAGTGACCTCCCGAAGAAGAAAGGTAATTCCTGGGGCTTCCCGTACCCCAAATCCTTCTCTGCTTTGGCTGTATCACCTCCCCAGTAGAGGTGAAACATGGGCAGCTTCAGCTCTTTTCTTTATTCCCACATACATAGGCATTATGCATGAGATTCGCTGACGCTTAGTACAGAAGTGTTCGTGTAAACTGACAGGCCTGAGTGGAAGGTGTGTGCACGCTCACTCACACACATCAAGTTTAAGTATTTCTTCCTGGAGGACTCTTCCTCTCTGTGACCAGCCTCTAGTCATGTCTTTATCTTGCCTTCCCACATAATCTGTTCTACCCAGTAGTACTTTAATCTTAACAAAATCAAGAAAAATAGTATTTAAAATTGCATCTCCCCCTTGCACTGGCCACATTTCAAGTGCTCAAGAGCTGTGTACAGACACCAGCTCCCGTGTCCAAGCACAGGGTCCATCCTCTCACGTGTTGTTGAAAATAAACATAATGTTGGGCTATATGTGTTTATTATTATTTGCCCTATAATTATTTTGGCAGTATTATCACAATTAATAAGACACAGACACCTGTTAGATTTTATAACTGCCTTATCTACCTTAGGCTGGGCAGATATCTCACTTACTCTGTCTCAGTAGCCTCACCATCCACCTTCCAGCCCATCCAATGCCATCCACCTTAATCCTCCTCATCTGGGCTATCTTCCACCTGTAGTCTTATAAATACTTGCTTTTATTTTTCATCTGGGCCTTTCCACTCCATTATTGGAGTCCTTCCTTCTGGCCCCATGTGGTTTCCTCTCCATGCTAATCCATCCTGGCATCCTCTCTTCCCGTCCCTCTGTCTTCTCCGGTGATTCTCCTGTTCCCAAACCCCAGGAACTTTAGCCACGTCTACCCCATTCTGCCCTGCCCAGGTTTTAGGCCTTTTAGTCAACCAATCAGGTATATCTTAGGCAGGTTTACACAAGGATAGATGTATCTGGGCAGTAACCAGATCTTGGGGGCCTGTGATTGGCATCAACATACAAGCATCAGACCAACCCTCAACATCAAGGCAAAGTGTTCTTTTGGGCAATGCTAGGCAAAGTAAGCCCCACCTCCTCCCCACCTTACAAGTTATCTGGGGTCTGCAAATTTTCAGCCTGGTATCTATGCCATTTAAAGGATAAACATGGAGGACAGGCCTGATGGTGATGAGCTGTTGTCTCTGATACACAAGAGGCTGAGGCAGGAGGATATGAAGTTTAAGGCCAGGCTCAGCAACTTTACAAGTCCCCTCTCTCCAAGTGAAGTAACAGTGGGTCTGAGCCAATGGTTCAGTCAGTAAAGTTCTTGCCTTGCAAGCACAAGGGCCCAAGTTCAAGCCTGAGAATCATGTAAAATGCCTGGAGTGGTGACCCAGGTGTTGGAGCCTCTGAGATAGGCTAACCAGCGTAGCCGATTGGGTGAGCTCCGGGCCGATAAGATGCTCTGTCTCACCTGGCATGGAGGCACACGCCTTTATGCCCAGCACTCAGGAGGCAGAAGCGGGCAGAAATCTTTGTTTCTGGCCAGCCTGGTCTACAGAGTGAGTTCCACACCAGCTAGAGGTGTGTGGACACCTGGACAGCTAGACCTTGTCTCAAAAAGACATGTCTCAAAGAAGGTGACTGTGGCCCTGAGGATGGCGGCAGGTTGTTCTCCGGCCTCCACACATGCACCTACAAACCCCTGAGCCTGTTCACGCGCACTAACACTGAAAGTGATGTAGGGCCATAAGTCCCGTCCCTGAAATCCATGTGGTAGAAGGGAAGATCCACCTCCTGAGGAGCCCAGCCTCCGCATGCCAGCCCCCCCTACAAATAAACAGAAAGATACGTTCAGAACCTAGGGTTGGCGAGACAGCTCGCTAGATAAAGGCACTTGCTACCAAGCTTGATGGCCCGGGAGGAGGGAGGAGAGAAGCGACCATGCAAGCTGTCTCTCACAAGTACGCCATGGCACACATGCACCCACACACACAACAAACAAAGGTAAGGGCGTGATGGCTCAGAGAGCAAGAGCACGTACTCTGCCAGAGCCATGGTTCTCAGCCTTCCTAACGCTGCCACCCGTCAATACAGCTCCTCATGCTGTGGTGACCCCAGCCATAAAATCATTTCATTGCTGCTTCCTAACTGTAGTTTTGCTGCCGTTATGAATTGTAACGTAAACATCTGATATGCAAGAATTCTGATATGTGATACCTGGGAAAGGGTTGCGCGACCCCAGAGGAGTCACGACCCACAAGCTGAGAACCGGTGTTGCAGAGGACTGAGCTTCAGTTCCTAGCCCACATGCTGCCCCAGTTCTAGACGATCTGACGCCTCTTCTGACCTCTGAGGGCACCACGCACAGGTAGTGCCCGCATGAACACGCAGGCAGGACACTCACACGGGTAAATCTAAGAATAAATTAACTTTAACGTGGCTCAGGAGATTGTTTTCCTATCATATATAAAGCCCCCTATTCAATTCCCAGTAGCATAAAAATAAGTAAGTGCATGGAAAGATGTCTCAGCAGTTCAGACGTGTGCTGCTCTTCCAGGGGACCCGAGATCAGTTCCTGATGCCTTCTCCTGGCCTCCACACACACCTGAATGAACATGCAATACACCCCTCATACATACGAGTAATTCAGGTCAAATAAAATCTTTTAAAAAGAAAAGCAAAAATGAAGTAACTAAAACGTGGAATTGTGGTCGAACCAGTTTTATTAATACACTCTGGACCGCTCCACAGTTGGTGCACAGCCATCGTCCACTGCACGATGTCACGCCTGTTCCATGACGTGGACCGTTCACTCACACAACTTACTCTGTAACAGTAGTACTGTGTGTGTGTGTCATGATGAGAACAAGTTGGTGCCCGCTCCTAGGGGCTGGCAGTGTCAGAAGAAGCTGAGATTAGGCATGAAGGACAGTGGTGCTCCCATCCCTGGGGAGAACTCCGCTTCCCAACTCCTCTTCTTTTTTTTTTTCTTAATATTTATTTTTATCATGTATACAATGTTCTGTCTGCATGTACACCTGAATGCCAGAAGAGGCATCAGATCTCATTATAGATGGCTGTATGCCACCATGTGGTTGCTGGGATTTGAACTCGAGACCTCTGGAAGAGCAAGCAGTGCTCTTAACCTCTCAGCCACCTCTCCAGCCCCCCAACTCCTCTTCTTACCAAGATTTAGCCGATTAGGACCCGGGTGAGGGTGCAGTAGTTCGGAGCCTGGTTCGCCTTCTGGGAAAAGAAAAAAGACACAAAGGTTTCAGTCTTAGGACCATGTTGTGAGGATTAAATGAATTGCTGGGTGTGCTAGAACAGTAATTGGTTCAGTACAGCTACAGTGTAAGCATCATCGGGGATCAACAACACCAGTGAGTGTTTACATGTTAGCTGTACTAACCCCCCTGCTAATTCTGAAGCCTCTTTATAATGCAAGATCTTAGGTAACCTGGCTAGCACCCTCCAGTGAGGGGCACAGAATGATGGCCTGAGTTCTGCCTGCAGTGTCACAGCTAATCAAAGACCTTTTTAGAAGTACTTTTATTGTTAAATTGATGTGTCTATGTGAGTAAGTAAGTGGGTGGAGAAACGTCTCAGTAGTTCAGACTGTGTGCTGCTCTTCCAGGGACCCGAGTTCAGTTCCTGATGCCTTCAGTTCCTGATGTGGGTGCAGGTACCTGCAGAGGCCATGAGATCTCCTGTAGGTAGAGTTGTAGGGGGTTGTGAGCTCTGCACTGAGCTGCAGCCCCAGTCCCTAGGACCTGCTTTAATGTAAATTTTCCATTAAAAACAAAAACCAAAACAGCATCTTCTTCGGAAGGACAGGATAGGGATTGAGAGCCTGTTCCCTTGGCAGTTACAATGGCTGTCGTTTCTCCAGCATGGCTTTCCCGCCAGGTGCAGGTTAGCGGTGAAGGGGCTCTCTCCTGGAGTGCTGTGAGGTCATCTAATGGGACTGGCCCTGTCTTTCCTGCCCCGTCCTCAGGAAGCTGGACGCCTTCATCTACGACGCCGCAGTGCTCAACTACATGGCCCGCAAGGATGAGGGCTGCAAGCTGGTCACCATCGGCTCGGGCAAGGTCTTCGCCACCACTGGTTACGGCATCGCCCTCCACAAGGGCTCCCGCTGGAAGCGGCCCATCGACCTGGCACTGCTGCAGTTCCTGGGGGACGGTGCGGCCACACTGGGCAGGAAGTCCTACCCTGCGGCGGGGAGGGCTGGCCCTCGGTCCTGGGGAGGGTATTGGAGAAAGAAAGGGGCCGGGGTGGGCTTTGGCGGAGAAGACTGTGCTCCTAAGAGGTGACTCTGCCCCCATCCCCAGATGAGATTGAGATGTTGGAGCGGCTGTGGCTTTCGGGGATCTGCCACAATGACAAGATCGAGGTGATGAGTAGCAAGCTGGACATCGACAACATGGCAGGGGTCTTCTACATGCTTCTGGTGGCCATGGGCCTCTCCTTGCTGGTCTTCGCCTGGGAACACCTGGTGTACTGGCGCCTGCGGCACTGCCTGGGACCCACTCACCGCATGGATTTCCTGCTGGCCTTCTCCAGGGTAGGGAAGGGGGCACAGGGGCAGGGGAGCGTCGGCAAAGAAGGGGAGCGCGAAAGTGAAAAGGAGGCACCAGCCCTAGAAACGGGAGGCAGGGCCCAGGGCAGAGGGAAGAGGCAGTGGGTGCGGGCGCCCCGCTGACCCCTCCCCACCCCTCGCAGGGCATGTACAGCTGCTGCAGCGCCGAGGCTGCCCCACCGCCCGCCAAGCCACCGCCACCACCGCAGCCGCTGCCCAGCCCCGCTTACCCCCCCGCTCGCCCGCCCCCTGGCCCTGCCCCCTTCGTGCCCCGAGAGCGCGCGGCCGCCGACCGCTGGCGCCGGGCCAAGGGCCCCGGGCCGCCGGGGGGCGCGGCACTAGCCGACGGCTTCCACCGGTACTACGGCCCCATCGAGCCGCAGGGGCTGGGCCTCGGCGAGGCGCGCGCACCACCGAGAGGCGCCGCCGGCCGCCCGCTGTCCCCATCCACCGCACAGCCCCCGCAGAAGCCGCCACCCTCCTACTTCGCTATCGTGCGCGAACAGGAGCCGCCGGAGACCCCCGCCGGCGCCTTCCCCGGCTTCCCGTCACCGCCCGCGCCGCCCGCCGCTGCCGCCGCCGCCGCCGTCGGGCCGCCGCTGTGCCGCCTGGCCTACGAGGACGAGAGCCCCCCCGCGCCCACGCGCTGGCCGCGCTCTGACCCCG